CCCCAGATCCTCCTTGGCCGGCGCGGCGTTGCCGATCCGGGCCAGCATGGACGCAGAGTCCCTTTCTCGCCCGACCGAAGGGCTCGGGCTGCGCTGCTCACGGCGACGCTTCAGGCTGCCCACCTCGGTCGCGCCCGGGTCGGCGACCTTCTCCTTGCCCCGGGCGACCTCTACCCGGGTGATCAGGACGTCGGAGGGCTCGACGACGAAGCCCTCGCCCGTCGTCACGGTCGAGGCGCTCAGTGGTCGGGCTAGGGGGATCTCCTTTTCCCCGGCCGTCTTCGCCTTGGCCTTCTTCTTGCCGCCAAGGGAGATCTTGGCGGGCGGGGGAAGGGGGGCCTCTTCATCACCAAAGTCCGCCATAGCTGCAAAACAAAGAAGATCGTTAGTGTGGTCGAGGCATAAAAATGAGTCGGGGGGGGGGGGGGGGGTTTAGCTCGAGTTAAACCTTTCTTCGTTCGCCTCGCAGGTTTGGCGACCGTCACGCCCATCGGAACGGGCAGATACTTCTCCGGCAGCTCGTATGTGGGGGGCGGGAGTTGAGCCGCCTCGAGACTTTCAGCCGTCCGGAAGATTGTGTATTCGTGCACCTCGCTCGAAATCCGGCTGACCGTGTCCCTCAGCGCTTGCGTCTCGACCGGCACCACTTGTTTCCGAAAGTGGGTGCTCCAAGCGCGATCAACCGGGAGGATCCAAGGGTCGTATTTGAGGGAGAAGATCCTATTCTTCCACCCCCTGTTGTTCCCGGGCAGTCCTTTGATCGCGCACATATCGGCCCGGGACTGCAACATCAGGAACCCGCCTCCATAGTTGCCCGGGAGGACTTTGACCTGATAGATGAAGTTGAACAACTCCATCGTGCACTCGGCCTCGTGCCGAGCGCATATCTGCGGGAAGCAGGCGAGGATCCGGTGGGCGTTAGGGCAGATCTGGGCCGGGACGACCCGGTAATAGGCCAAGAAGGCGTTCAGGAGGGGGGTGAAGGGAATGGCGATCGGGGCCATCAGGGAGTCGTAGTGCATCCCGATCCATTTGCCCCGATGCCGATCGATGACGTTCCCCAGCTGCCGGCTCGTGTCAAACTCTACCCGACCCACGAGCCTTTCGGCAATCCTAGCCGCCTCGCCCTTGGTGAGCTGGCTCATTTGCTGTTCGACGTTCTCGCTGTTCAAGAACTCGAACTCCGCGACGACTGGGGCGGCAGGCCCGGCCGTGTCCTCTTCGGTCGGCTCGGGAGCCGGACTCGGGTGGTCCCCAACCACCCGAGTGGGCGTTTCCCTAACGCCTTCGGTCGGGGATCCTTGTCTCCCCGACATGGTTCCTTCTTCTTCTTCCTCGTCGGAGCTCCCCGATCCGCTTGAGCTGGAGCTCGACGACCCGGATGAGCTGGACGACGTGTCTTGTGCGGCGGCCCGCTCGGGAGCTGGACCCGGTCGGCTGATAGCTTCGGGGGAGTAGGACATGATGTCCACCTCCTCGTCGCTGAGGTGCTCGACCTCCTCGTCGTAATCCGCGATCGATGCGTTTTGGCTATCCGAGTCCGACATAGTTCTACCTAAAGGTCGGTCGGGAGTTAGTATAGGGTTCGGGGAGTTAGCTCGAAGTTAGTGCTATCCTACTTCTACGCTAAGTGAAGAATAAAGAAAGAGTAAAGAACTAGGAGCTTACCGAGTGAAGAAACTTGGAAGAGGATCTGAAGTTTTGCTTTGCTTGATCGCCTTGCTGAGATGCTCTGCTCGGGATTCTTAGAGGATACCGACTGAAGCAAAAGAGTGAGGAAAGTTCAAATGAGGGCCTCAAGGGCCTATTTATAGGAGGGCATTTAGGCGGGAAATGGGCCAACTTGCCTGACACGACCCGCGCTGAATCCGAGGCGACGGATGGGATCGCCGAGGCCGGCAGAGGCCGACACGTGGCGTAGGAGGGAATGACAGCTGGCAGGTCGGCTTGGTGGCTGACGGTTGGGCTTCTTCATCCCGTCCCGTTTTTCCGACTGATCAAAAAGGCCCGGGCTGGGGGGCTCTTGGTAGGGAATATCCCGACCGACATAGCTTCACCACGACCGAGGAGCCTTTGTCTCTTTTTCCTTGTCTTTGCAGGTAACAGGTCGGGCTCCACGAGAAGAACTCGGTCGTAGACCGACTGGAGTTGCCCGAGCGACGGTGTCGACCACCGAGCGGTAGCCCTTTGGCGAAAGAGCTGACGAAGGACACGTGGCGGCTCTTTACATCGACAGGCAGGGCACCCGGGAGGATGACACGTGGTGGCTACGTGGAGGACATGCCGAACAGCTGGAATCCTGTCCCCGGCATAGCGGCTATAAATACCCACAGTAGCTACAGTGTAAGGGACTTTTGGACGATCGATAGGTTGTTGTTAGAGAATCCCGACCGCACTTAGTCGGTACTCAGAGCAACCAAGTAGATTGTACTTAGGGCCTTTACCGTGATCAATAGAGATTCTACTTGCTTTAATTGGTCTCGTGTTATTCTATATTGCTTACATATAATTAGCAGTATCAATAGCAAAAGCTGCCAAACAAATTTACTAGCCACAAAGACAATTTAAAAAAAAAAAAAAACAATATTAGCAATTGCATGTCATCTTTCCAATCTAAAATTTGCTGGAATAATTCCAACCTAATAATTCATCTATTCATAATTATTTGTGCTTAATTAAGCATATATTAATTCATATTTTGTGTATATTTAGTTCTTATTTTACAATAACTTTAATTGTAATTAAAAATCATAATTATGGTGCAAAACATTGAAAGAACTTTGTTGTTTCCGGTCAAATCCGTCATATATGATATGTTTAATATAATTATCTATTTTGTATGATTTACGAATTATTACAATAAAATAAGATTTTTTTCATGCAACTAATCAGTATTTATAGGTTTCCTCTTCATTAAATAAAACATAGGAAGGAGGGTGAAATTTGGTGGGAAACATTTTTGCGAAAACATTTGAACAATGCATGTCACCGACATCGATATCACGTTGGAATATAATGACTGATTTTTTTATGTACTTTAATTAACAAGGTGTAATTAATATTGTGAATGGCAAGGAGTCTTGGAGATAACGAGGGCGTGAAACAAGGGTTCTTTCTATTACAAACGTGCCCTCCACGCCAATTTCACAATTTTATTCTTTAAAAATGTTTTTTTTTTTTTTTAATACATGTCACACCCTTATCAAAGTTACGTTAAAAACTATGCTTACCAACTGGATTAAGTTGCCGGATTAAATTCCTAAATAATAATATTTACTTTAATAGTCATAAAAGAAAGGAAATTTTCATTTTCATAAATATATTGCATGTGAATTACTAATTCGTTGATGATTAAAATAGAGTTCGCGTCATATATCAATACATGCATGTTATGTAATAAATATTATAGAATGATTTTTGTAAGGGACGTGTTAGATTTTTGCTATATGACCATTGAATAATGGTTTAACCTTGTTTTTCAAGTACAACTCAACTGACTTCACTCTGTGCAAATGCGCAATCATCACTCATGATACACTAACACTCCACATATTAAGATTAATTATATTCATATATTGGATTGGACTTTAGAGGTGGCAAAACACACCCTCCAAAGTAATTAAAAACTTATAGACATGAAATCTTATATCGCAATTTACCTCATTGACTAAGATTTTAAAATAAGGACAATGACAAGATCAAGCAAGTGAAAGTGGTTATTGGTTTTTTTTTTTTTTTTTTTTTTTTTTTTTTTTTTTTTTTTACAATGGTATAACCGATAACGTATATTGTGTGGTATCCCACTTTAATTTAAGCTATAAAGATGGAGTTAAAACATGAATTTCTTCATTTTGGGCCTAGTCGCATGCATGGCCCAGAAGGACTATACATAAATAAAAAACAATTATAATTTCTAATTTAAAAATAAAACATTTCCTTTCCCTACTATAATTCAAAATAGTCCAGATCAAAGTAGGCAAATTATTATGTGGGCTTGAATTAAAAAATATACAATTTATATATTGAATGTTCACAATTTACATTGTGAATATTTAATATATAAATTATGAATATTTAATATGTAAATTTTGTATTTTAAACTTAAGTCCATCTTGAAATGTGAACTCAAGTCTATGGTATAACTACTTAACAAAGTAAAACCCTATGTCCCTGAGATTGGACTCCTAGATTAAGAGACGATCATTGGATTTGTATCTTTTTTAGAAAATATGTATTTCTCCATTTTTAAGTTTTAGTTTCAAGTTCGGTAATCATCAGAAAAGTATAACTCTTATGAAATTTAAAATTTGAAAAAATTATTTCATATCTAGTAACTCATTGTACTAAAGATAATAGTTTAGCATTGAAGAAAGATATTAACTCATCGGCCACTCACCAAAAATGTGTGTATGTCATTGTTTTTTTTTTTTTTTTTGGACAAATTTTCGTAATCTTGTTTTGTACATACCAAAGTTTTTCTACTTATTACATTTATCATTATGTGTTAATGGTCTAAGTTAGTATATATTTCATATTTATATGTAGTATAAAGATATATTGAATTTTTTTTTTATTTAAAAAAAAAAACTCATAGTTAATGATATGCACGAGATAATAGTTATGCAATGGACCCGAGTCAAAATACACAATTTATATACTGAATGTTTATAATTTACATATTGAATGTTCACAATTTACAAGTATATAAAAATTGTGAATATTCAGTATGTAAATTATGAACATTCAATATATAAATTGTGAATTTTTGGACTCGGGTCCACAACATAATTTGCCGCACGAGATAAACTAAAAGAAAATGGTAAATAATGCCAAGCACTCTGTGCTCAATGACACTTCTGTGGCTCTCCTTGAAGGAAGGTCACAAGATCAAACCCTGATGGTAAGGTATTGACTTTTTGGGCTGCAACAGAACCCCAATGGTTGAGCTGCAACAAATAGAGAAAGATAGTACTAAAAAAATTGGTAAATAATTATTTAACTTGCTTGGTAGCCCAAATTTATTGATGATACAAAGATGGGTTTTTTTTACACGTTGGAGCAATATAATTGAATGGAGAATAGAGTGGAATGTAATGGTTATAAACAACGTAACCCCCGGCCCGGATACATTGGCAATTAAGGCTGTCTCCGAGGAGACAGCATCCTAAGCTAGCTCAGTCCCAGGATTCAACAGCTGCGCCATTTAATTTGTGGAGCCCCTCGTCTTCCTTTCATCAGAAAGCACTTTAGCAAACCTACATAGTACGTACATGCACCCAATGAATCAGGAACTTAGAAACACAAAAAATTAATGAGTTTTCACAAATTATTATTATTATTTTCCATTTTCTTCAAATCAAGAAAGTTAATTAATAGACTGTTACAGTTCAAAGTCGAACTTGTAATCTTTATTACTAAGTTGCCTCACACAAACTCAATTTACCATATATGTTGGGACCAGTAAAGGGTCATGTCCAGCACACTATTTCTCGAAAATATGATAACCTTTTATAAGGAAATAAAATTGTGCATTTATTACGAGCTATAGCTTCTGGTGAGAGGAAAATTGTTAGATTGAGGCCGATAAAAGGTCAAGTCTAACAGCCTACCTCTTAAAAATGTGATGACCCTCTATAAAGAAATAAAATTGCGTCTTTGCTACAACAATAGGGTATAGTGGTATACTAAGCTTACTTTTGAAGTGCTTCCATATTTGTGCCTCCATTTTCAACCGGTTTATATTCTCCGGTGGACAAATCCACCATGGACACCGGTTTTTCCAGCAGCCCCTCCCCAACTTTCACAAGATTTTCTAGGTTCTCCGTTGTCGCTACATCCACGGATGACAGATCTCCGGTCAACGTGTCCTCCTGCCACGATCAGTACTAAACTAATCAGATTCGATCTGGGTACCAAACAGATTAAACTATCAAGATTCTAAGTATATATATGTACTTGGATTCTGAGGTAGTTATCCTGTGACTGAAGAGCTTGGAACACAACACAGTTGTGGAAATCAACCATGTCGCTAGCTGCATCAGTAAAGGTTTCGATTAACGGAGAAGATTTGCCGTTCAACAGCCATCCAAACAGCCCCCATTTAGCCGCCGTTTGGGCGTCGTATTTGTGCTCGTTCTTCGCGGCGCCGGTCCCCACCGATATTACCAGAAACCGGTCGTACTGGAATGGCTTCATGGGGAAGAAATCCGTGTTCTGATTCATCACTTGCTTAGTCACTTCGCTGATCGCCACCAGAGTCTATATATCATGCATGCATGTAATTACGTACTTTTTAACCAGCTGACCATATATATATATAATATATAAACATAAATGTATAGTTTCAGAACGGTGTGGTTGTACCGGGTTATTAGCGGCCACCCCGCCATCAACGAGGTTGAATTCTTGTTCCCTTCCTTGAGCATCGTTGTTCTTGAAATAGTGGGCTGGTAGATAAGTCGGTGCTGCAGAGGTGCTAATGCATACATCTGAGAGCTGCACATCCCAAATCGAATCTTCTGGTGCCTATATTATTTGTCAAGAACAAAGCTTAATTTTGTCTTTTCGAGTTACCAGAAAAATCGCAGTCACGTGAAACAAAAGATCGCAAGAAAGTAAATTAAACTAGCTTAATTAAGTTATCCATAACTAATATTCAGTTGGTAAGAGTTGAACATAGCCATGTAATTAATTTGACTGGGAATCTGGGATTACCCTAGGGGGGCGTTTGGTTCGGGTTATCTAAGATAATCAAGGTTATATTTAGTTGGTTATATAAGATTCCTATGTTTGGTTGGAGTTATGCAACATTCCCATGGAATAAAATTTACCCTCCACATCATCTTTTTCACTCTTTTGAAGGGAATGTGATTCCCTTAGAATTCTTAGGTATTAAAAGATTCCCTTGGCATTTTACTAACTTTGCCCTTCACTATCCATCACATTGCTTTGTTTTTTACCGAAAAGTTTAAAAAAAAAAATTCGAAATTAACCTTTCGGTTAAAGCAAGCAAGCTAAGTTCACTTTGCTTAACATGAAAAATCAACTTTGTAGAAGCCACATTTGAATTTGTAGAAATTAAAGAATCTGTATGTATGAAGCCACGAGTCAACTTTTTGGATAAAGGAATGAATATATATATATATATATATATATATATATATATATATATATATATATATATATATATCAAATTTTGTATGGTTGCATGCATTGGAATATTGAAATGCATTAAAATATATTGAGGGTATTAAAGTAAAATAATCATTATAACATAAATAACAATATTTCAACCAAACATGTTTATATTATATAACTCAATTTTTACCAAACACATGAATGTAACATTCTCAGTAATCTAACATTCCCAGCAATCCAACATTCCCTAAGGTAATCTGACATTCCGTGAACCAAACGGCCCCTAGAAAGTTTAATTTTGTTACTTATAGAAACATATTCGAATGTCAACTGGATTATATATAGTAATGTGAGGATTACCTCGTAAGAATTGAAGATGGTGGGCTGGAGATTCTTGATATCAAAGGTAGGGATAACCACATTGGTCAACGTTTCATGCACCCTTGTACCTCCCAGGATGTCCCTTACAAGTTTGTGAAGGTAGTCCCCATTATAGCGAGGTCCAGTGAAAGCTTTGAACAGATCAATAATGCAAGAAAACGGCCCGCTGAAAATCAAAACCAAAAAATAACTTTAGTCAAATCTGTTAAGATAGAGAACATAGTTAATTAGCTTCCTTAATTACAACCTAGTCTGAGGAAAGATGCTGGGGCAGTGCTTGAGATAGAAAGGAACTATATCCTTGGCGGCATACAAAGGGCGTTTATCTTTGTCAGGTGCTGTCAACATCGCCGTCACAAGCCCGCCGGTACTGGTTCCGGCAACCACGTCGAAGTAGTCTGCGATCCTTGCATCCTCACCGTCCAGCTCCTGTGTCAGTGAAACAAAATGTGTTAGGAAACTGGCCAAATTGGTAAAGTTATTGACTTGGTAACCGAGTTATAGTTTTGATTCTTAGCAAGAATAACTTATTAGCCTTCTTAATTCGAGTCAACCAGCTATGAGTAACTTAAATTGATTTAACTCCTTATGACTGATGGCCGGCAGCTTGGAAGACCGAGTTCAGCATAGAGTAAGGAAACATAGTTGCGTATTTACTATTAATTATAGTTTTTGATGTAATGGCAAACGTTTGATCCCAAAAATTAATATCAAAATAACAGAGCGCTTGATTGACTAAGATCACAAGACATTTATTACAAAAATAAAATTTACAATAATCTCTACTAGTTACATACTTGAAGTTGTTTCTCTAGATAGGCAAGGATGACACCGGGGATAATTCCTCTTATTCCTCCGCCGTCAATGCTGAGAACTGTTATAAGGTTGCCGGAGCTGGGCGGCGGCCGGTTTTTTGAGGCGGCAGTGTTTCCCTCCATCGCCACTCATATATCTATGATGTTGTTAATGGTTATTGACTTCATATATAGAATGAAGAATCAGCGATGATATTAGTTAAGTGCTAATTAAAAATTCCCATGTGAGTCATGGCGTGATTAAGAGTAATAAGATTGGATTGATCATAAACTAAATTGAGCAAGCTGTGCAAGGATGACTTTGACTTTGGAATGTATATGATGTGATCATCACATAATTACAGCTAGTTTAATTTCAAATTAAGAAAATTACACATTACGTTAATTAGGTAGTTTACCGAAGCTTATGGCGTCCATGCTCCGCCATTATTGGGTGGCGGAGGAGTCGCACTTGGTCTCATACAAACATGCAGTATTTACCTTCATACAATTATATATGTGTCACGAGTTCTACTCATTGGTGTAAAAATCAACTTAGTCGGCCGTCTAGGCATCGACTAGGACGACTTTCGCTCTAGGTAACTTTTAGTTGACCGACCGATTAGGCAATCTATATGCCGAGTTGGACACCTAACTCGGTCGAGTTGAGCGCATATCTTAGCCAAGGCGGATGCCTAACTCATCTGAGTCGGTGCCTAGCTCAGCCAAGTTGGCGCTCAACTCGGCCAAGTGTTTTTTTTTTTTTTTTTTTTTTTTTTTGCTTGCTCGGCTACTCCTCTTCTATATTTCTCCAACCATATACTCAACTAACTATTTAACATATGCATTTTACTAATTTGGAGGATTATAAGAGTCTAACAACTCCTAACCCTATGTGGGAAAAGTGGAGACAATATACTCGAATTACTCAGATGCCTAGACGGCGCTAGGTGCCCTCGAGCATCCGACTAACGCCTTCTGCAAGATTAACTCTACTACATGTATTTTCAAATTCTATTTCCTATTTTTACTCATTTTCCATTCACCATGTATGGCTGTCTCTAAGAATTCCTCCGCAGGTAGCCTGATTGATGCTGGGCTTTACACACCCAGGAAGTCATTTGCTGTGGTTGCCAATCACATAAATAATAAGTGCATAATCCACACGGTGTAGGTGATAATATAAATCTGAGGAATTAGGAATTATATACGTCACTCGGGATTTCTTATCCGTAATACTATATTTACTCGTTCAAAAAAATCAATTTTTTGGAATTGGCGTAAGGCCGTAAGCTATGCATTTGAAAATACGAAAGCGACACGGCATTCTGATATCATACTTTATTCTATCTGAAATTCAACTTTAAAAACAAACAAAATGTTGTTCAGATAACAGATGCATCTAATTTAAAATAATGAATACTGTTTCCTCATAGAATAATCTTAACAGCAAATAATCTTTTACTAGTTGCAAGCTGTCAATCCAATTGTATAATGCTAAAGGTGTATACTTGAAAGAATGCCACCTTCAACTTATCTTCTTCTGGTACCTTTTTAACACTGTGTAAGAATCTCAGCACCATCTTGTGTTATTAGAATGGTGTGTTCAAATTGTGCAGACAGGCTACCATCTTCTGTAACAACAGTCCAGTCGTCGTCCCACATTATAGGCTGTATGCTGCCAACTGTCAACATCGGTTCTGTATGTGTACAACATGTTAAGAAGGGTGAGGGTCAGAGTACGGCACAAATCAAAGACAATCACGCAGCATCATCGGGGGAAAGCCACGTCAATGAGGAGAAATATGGAAACGAAAATATTACCAATAGTGAATGTCTGATTGAGAACCATGCGCCCTCGACCATTGTTTCCTAAGACAGGGAAAAAGTATCACATGAAATCAATATGGGTAGAAAGTCGACATGAATCAGCCCAATCAACACCAAAAGTATTAACGAAGTTTATTGTTCCATGCACCATCAGCAGACCAAGAACAAAGAATATATCTAGAATGCAAATGTAAACTTCATGAAACCCTGGTTGAGTAAAATGGTTTGGAGAATTTACTGTAATGTAGAATGACTGGATCACTATGAAAGACACGTCCCACACCATGGCCAACAAATTGTTGTACAACGCCGTAATTATGTTTATCTGCAAGGTCACTACAAACGGAAACATTAATGTCAAGCAAAAATCCCATCACAAATCCTATATTCACTATTACTATGAAAATTATCATAATGTTCCAGAAATCAGACTTATGGAGACAACTTACTGTATTGTCTTGCCAATTTTTTTAAAGTCCACTCCAGGGGCACAAATTGATATTGCCTTATCCAAGGAATCCTTAGTTACCTAAGAAATGAGGCAATGAATTGCACTTATGAGAAGCGTATCTAGAACCATACCTACATGACTAGACAATTGCAAAGAGCTGAAACTAAAGAGCATCATAGATTAATTTAGAATAACAATATAATGAAAAGTATAAATATGCACAGTGCATGAGTAATAATTCATTGCATGATGCACCTAGCACAAGAAATAGTCTAGTAACAAAATTTACTGCTGCTTTTAAAAATTGTGATCTTTTATGTCTTATAATAAGATTTTGAATTTGGAGTGGCTTCCCATTAAATTTAACTTATGAAACCAATCAAATTGAACAAGGTCCCAAATTGTTATCCTGAGGCCTTGATCACTTGACGTCAGCAAGCCTAAATCCCCAGAAATGATATGCAAACTTCAATGTGATTCAAAAACAGTATCTTTCATTTTGAAATGTGCCCTTAATTTTGATAGAAAACAGGAAAGAAATGATAGTTAGCTTGTGCAGGATCAAATAACTCTTATCTTTATAAACAAAAAACATGGTCTTTTCTTGTAAAAGGGGAAAAAGATATGCAGATCAGAAAGTGTATCTGCCAACCAGGAAATCACACCTGCACTAAGTTTCTGGCCTCCTCGTCAACATCTCCAACAAAGAATGTGGCTGATGTATCACCATGGTAACCCTGTATATAAAAATCAAATCAGTGAATAAAACAGAGTGAGGTTTCGCTTTATTCCTTAATAGACTACAATGAGATAGTTGTAACAGCCACCCTTTTATACAGCATAATATTAGTTTCAATTGATTGGTGGGTGCTACTAGCTAAAAGTAAATATTGAGTATACAGATTCCTCCATAGAAACTTACATTTAGATACACAGTAACATCAATATTGATTATATCACCATCCTGAAACATCAAATATCAGTGGTTGCCAAGAGAAATATCAGCTTCAGGTCTTCAGTGACTTGAAACTTAAAGCTTGAGAAAAATTTAAAATTATAGCAAACCTCAAGTGGTCGTGAATCAGGGATTCCATGACAAATGCACTCATTCACAGAAGTGCACACACTCTTTGGAAATCCACCATAACCAAGAGGTGATGGGTATGCTCCATTGTCGATGATCATTTGGTGAACAGCTTGGTCAATTTCATCTGTTGTGATGCCTGGCTGCCAAAAGTAGTAACTACCGAGATTTAAATAATGTGGTAGCATCAATCTAACTTATTGGAAGTGAATCAAGTGATCTTGATTTACTGTTCATTCATTGTGTACATCGACTGATTTTATTCTAAAATAAGTCTATATAAGCATTTCATGAAGCACCCGACCAATGTATAGGAATAATACAAATTATATTCCAAAAGATCAACAATGAAAAACACAAGGCAGCACTTCTGAATGATCATAAGCATCCATCATTTGAAACAAATTAAAGCAAAAACATGGAAAAAATAATTATAAAAGATGAGCACATAGTCAACTTAGAGCAGTAAGTTTTCATCCAAAAACCATTTTTAATATGATGTTATTGCAAAAATGGCCACATGTTCATCTTGGTTCAACATAACTGAAGTACAAAAGATAACTTGTAAACTGACAAAAAGTTGCCAATCTTGGATTTCCATTCTCCTCCACTCAGACATACCAAAAAATTTATTTTAAAGGAAGGAAGAAAAGAAAAATTATTTTTAACAGGGATCACCTTGACTAAAGTCCCGGCATACTGAAGGACCTGTGCTGCAAGCCTTCCTGAAGCTCTCATCCTTTCTATCCCCTTTTTATCATGCACTTCTGGTCCACTAGAAATCCCAGGTGGTTTTCTAGAATTCACATATGGAGGCCTCTGTATGTGATCAGGAACTGGTCTACAAGGAGAGACTTTGCCTGGCTTCAAACGTGCACGTTTGCCATTGGGAATAGCATCAGTGTTTCTGGAAATTTAGTAGAAATGAAGAACAGTAACATGAGGAAACAATCTTAGACACAAGAATGCAGAGGTACTGAAATTAATCCAAATAAATAAATAGTGAATTCAGCATAGTAACAGAGTATGCAAATACAATAATAGATGCTACATAAGACCAGACCCTATATAAGCAAAATCGCTTTAAAGAGGAAAAAAAAAAGTTTGCAACCATATTAAGACTGTTACCTATAACAAAAATGGTAACATAGTCCTCTACTATCTAGGTCTATTTTAATTCAAACATTCTCCAAGATATTTAGATAAACAAACGGGTATGAGTGAAAACATCCCTAAAGATGCTGCATCAGTGTTCATGTAGCTGAAATGAACCAGTATACCTTCTGTTAAATAAAAGATTTGCCAATCCCGAAAATGTTCTGGACATTTGCATCGACGCATGTTTACTTCCTGTGCGAAAAATCAAAGTTAGATTGAAGTAAAACACAAAAGCAATTCTTAACACGAACAAATGGTGCCAATTCAAATGTAAAGTCTCTGCCTAATGCCTACTCACCTTCATCTAGGGGGGCATGTGTAGTAACGAAGGATGTAAGGTTAGTGTAATTACATCAAACACTTGATGCGCGTAGTACAAACATTGCAGAGAGAATAAGGAAAAAGCGGAATATTATCAGACCTGGATTGCAGCTGAAGAGGCGATGTAGTGAGTTCGCCGAGTAGAAGAAGCTAGTGTCCCCGACAAAGGTAGAGAGAAGGCGGGGTTGAAACGACGTCGCCGCCGCCGCCATTCTTGTACTTCTACTCTGTCTCCCTCCCTCCCTCCCGGCCTCCCTTATCTGTTAGTTCAATTGCAGGATCACCTTATTTTCATTTTAATTTTTTTTATTTTTAAATCACTCCGTATTTTCCCACAGTTGTAACTTGTAAAGAAGGAAA